GGGGGTAGACCATAATGATGAGCATGATGCACATCATTCCTTTTGTTGGATTTTTTTAGTTTCTCTACTTTATCTTTACCTGTTCATTGTGTTCTTAAAGGGAAACACATTGCATAATTCCTTGGTCTCTATTTATGTAAACTTTGAACTGGAAAGGCATATTTCCTTAGCCAGTCAGCTCTTCTCCATGTATTCTTTATTCCGTTCCCCTTAATGGTTGTGTCATTTCTCCTTGTTGGATTGCCTTAGGATATCAAAAGAATTCCAAATTTACTATTTTCATATCAACGGATTCTCAACTAGGCCACGAATGTGCAGCTTTGACCTGTTACAGCAATTTAGCAACATGAATGTGGCTTGATCTTTGTAGAAGAAGTAATAGTTCAGAACAACATAGTAGAACTAGTGGCCTTTGTTACTGATTTTAGTTGAAGCATTTCTGGTATCATTTTAGATGATGCTGCATCATATATGAAGTGCAGTTTTCATTTATTTTCACCTTAGTGTTACAGAAATTCAGACTTCAATGAACTGCCATATATGAAGTGCAACTATTGACCTCTATTTTGCACTGGTTTTCTTTGTCGTGACATTACATTGTAGTTTATTTACAAAGTACTAATCACAGTGGCATATAGCTCCATATTGGCACCACATTCTAAGACCTCAGGAAATTTAGTGTGTGAAGTATGGGAATATGTAAACCATTTAACATTTGGAAATAGAGTCGGTGTAGATAAACCTAACCAGACCTTTGGTCCTCTATAAGTTGTGCATCATTTCCCAAATTCAGTAATATGGGACTTTGGTAGTAGTTTTCATTTTTCAATAGGTTAGAATTATACTTGTCATGTAGATGTTAGTGTTTTTCTGAAAATCTTGCTATCTGATAGCTGAATATTATGGTAGTCACTCTCACAAAAGTATCCCTAAATGGGTATATTTGCTTCAATCAGATAGTGAACTAAGACATGTGTAATGTGATAAATCTTACAATCTTTTCTAAACCTAGTAAGTTTCTTATGCCACTTTTGAGTCTAGTGAGGACAACAAAGCCTTTTTCTATTTAAAAAACCTGATATCCTTTGCAAAAGAAAAAGAAAAAGAAAAAGAAAAAGAAAAAGAAAAAAGGGGATGGATATGAAAACTCTACCTCAGTAAGCATGGTTAATTCCATTTTCTTTTTCTCCTGCATTTGTTCAGGTTCTAGTTTCAACCATTGAGTTTTGATTACATGCTCAATGAGTTTCCAATTTCACTTTTTTCCTCTGTTCAGGTATGGAAAAAACTATAAATCAGTGAAAGATCTTGCGTTGTCTAGAGATTCTTCACCTGAAAGAGAGAGGGCAAGCTTGAGTTTTTCTGCAGTGAAGTCATTGATGCTTCGTGAAAAGGACGAAAAATCAAATTTTGAATGTGGCAATGATGATGAAACATTCTTATTAATCCAATCATTATTTGATGCAGGTATATTTCCTTTGATTTGTATTTATTGACTCAATGGATGTTCTTTCTCTAGGTTGAATTTCTGATCTTTAGTTTCTTAGCAATGTCATAATTTTTCACTTCCATTATAATATTTGCAAGATATTCGCAGAGGATTATTTCTGCAGATGGAAGAATGCCTCTGGGTCAGCAACACCAACAGTGGCATCTTTGCCAAGATATTTTCATACTGCCCCTTCAGAAACCTTTGTTACTAGGCTATCTGAAGTCATGGGGAGATTCAATACCCTTCAAAAAATGGTGTCCTTTTGGTGCAGAGTGGTTGATGAAGTATGTATAAGTTTTACAACTTGACTTAAGATAACTCTATTCTTTTCTGTTATTCTTATTTAATGTCAGATAACTGTTCTTACCCAGCACAGTTAGCGTTGCTAGTTGTTCTTAATGTATGTGGATACATGAATATATCTAAAAATTTGACTTGACAAATGAATTAATATACATATTTGCATAGATAGGACAGTGTGTTTCTTTCAACAAGATACTATTTTGGTGCTTGTGATATATATTTTCTTTTGCAACCAGGTGATCTCAATCTTCATTTATGTGTAGCAAACTAAAAAGCATTCAGAACAAAAAGTTACTCATTAACAATATCTTTTGTGACCAAATGTAGAAGAGTGAAAACTATTTTCCTTCATTCAAAACTTCCAAACCAGTTACATAATCTTCAGGCATCCTAGCATTATGGGGCAGTTCTTTGATCTTTAATTCTTGTTTTCCTTAGTACACACCTACATGGGTCTTACATGCTGTTCACCTTTTCAGTGTCTTTTTTGCTTTTTCCCCACACACAAGGCTTTTTATGTCTCAGCTCTGTATTTTCTGGCCTAGGTTCAGTTTGATGCACTAATACAACTATACCAAATCTATTTGTCTTTAGTGTCATTTGAAAATCTTCTCTCTCATGCAGCTGAGAAGAAGGTGGACTGAAGGACAGCCTGTACCTGGCATGCCTCTAGATGAGAGCCCAGATCTAAATTCATGTCTTCTGCATCAACAATTACAAGTTATTAACTGTTGTCTTTCCAGGAAGCATCACCGCATTATTGCCACTCGATCACTGGATTCTGTAACAAGAGTAGCCAGTCCAAATTCCGAAGAATCATTTGTTTCTCATGACATGGTTTCTTCAAGTCCTATCATGTATGCAAGGATTAACTCTGGCAATCTTGTTCTCCGTCTAGGAGCTGATCATTGTTCTAAAAAGAATTTAACTCTTCTGGAAACTGGTGAATCTATATTCTCTCCTGTTACTCAGGTTTAAGACATACCTAGCTGGATAAATTTTTCCTTAGCTTTTTGGAAATACTTTACAAATGCTATGATCTAAACATATGTGTGCATATGTAGGAGGGTCCTGTTCTAACTGAAGAACTAATAAGAGAAACAGAGGAGTTTGTGATGCAAACAGGGAGGTTAGTCTATTTAGAAAATTTATTTAATTGATTGTTCTGTGAAATATCCTAATTGTGAATAACCTCAATTTTTTTATCTTTTAATTTTTAAATTCAGAAGACAATACTGTGAACCCACTGTATTTGATCAAGCACTAAAGGGGACAAAACTGCAATTTACTAGTACTTTACTATAGCCAAAATTCAGAGGAATTAACTGATGTCTACTGGGGAGTGTGATCCTTCAAATCCTTTTTGCTACCTCAGTTGATATAAGATCACCCTTTAATGGTCCTTACAGAAGTTCTGCACAGAATCACTCCTTGCTAGTGGTATTTGTTGGTCTTCATTGTACATAACCAAATAGGGCTGCAAGTTGAAGAATTTCAACTACATGGGGCTTTAAGGCCCATTGAAAATTTAACAATTCCCTATCCAGCCCAACTTGTACCTCTATGACCAAACTATAGTGGTTGGTTCTTCTTTATCACCTCTTGGAGCTGTTTCAGGTTCTCTCAAAGGAAAAATTGCTCCTCATTTTATATTTCCCTCTTCCATCATTTTTCCTTTTCAGTTTATTCATCTTAACTGCTTAATATAGGAGCAATTATTTTTCTCTTTATTGCCTAACCTTATGTTTATAAAGTACTCCTGATCTCAGTGCCAATATGTAGAATTTCCCTGTTGATTGATAGTAAGAAATGCCTCGATGCAATACCACCTTTATTCTACAACATTCTCAACATTACTTATAATGTTGTGAAATTTGTAAATGAACAAGACATGTAATGAATAAACTAACAATTAGATTTCCAACTATTATTACAAATAAGATGTATGGAAATTTTGAACAGGGCCTATTTGCCCCATATTTACCATTTGGTCAGTAATGAGATTTACTAATATACTCGTCAAGAAGTTTCACAAAATGGTTATGGTACCATGGTCATATTCTTAGAATTGCTGATAGTGTTGTAACTCTGTAAGATGCCAAAATAGTAGACGCAGAGTGAATATAATATATATGTATGATATATATTTACATTTTGTTTTTCTACCATTATTAATCTTCATAATCCTTGGAACTAATTCTAAGTGATCTCTCTGTTATGCTCAGTCTTGGTGCTGGGTGTTCTCAACTCCTATCTGACATGCAGGCATTCAAGGTGATGTCTAATTGTGAAGTCAAATTTATAGATGTTTGCACATCTTGTAAATGGTTAATAATGCTTGCTGTTTAACTCAAGTATACTCTATTTCATGTACTAGGCTGCAAATCCTGGATGCATATTAGAAGACTTTGTAAGGTGGTACTCTCCAGCAGATTGGATAGAAACTGAACGAAGTAATGAGACCAAAGACTCTTTTGATGGTGGAGATCCATCATCTAAAAGAGGCCAACTAAGTAGTCGGATGCAAAAAGAAGGTCAACTCTCCTCATTTTGTCATTTTTTGCTTCTTAAAGCAGGCTATGTAATTTGTGGAATATTTCGATTCTGTTATAAAATTCTAGAGAAACCATAATGAAAACATTCATTTTCTGTTTAAATTAATCAGTGGACATGTATAGAATAAAAATTGAAACTGCAATTATTTATCCTAGACTGATAGCTTTACTTTGGCATCTGGGACAGGAGCTATGCAGAGTTATTAATTCTTTGCTTAAATAAAATGATGATGCAGTGCCATGAAATATCATCTGATGTTATTGAGGTCATATCCTTCAATAGACTCCTTTCTCTACAGATAGGGGGTTTGTGGTGATCTTTGAATGTTATTCAGGAAATTTTCTAAACTTGGATGATGACTTCGTTACCGTGTCCATGGCAACAGCCAAAAATGTGGAGTTTGTTTTGTTAGAACAGAAAATCAGCTTAGTACTAATTCAGTAGTTTGGAAACTTTTATCTGGTTAGGTTACTGTATGAAAAACATAAATTCTTGGTGTATATTTTCCACTGACCAAATGATAATGTTATTTATACTTGTTCACATCTAGGTAATTTATGGCGTGAACTTTGGAAAAATGCTAAGCCATTACCTGCTGCTAAACAGACACCACTATTTGATGAGGATTTGGCAGTGTAAGAGATTTTTCTTCTTGCTTTTCCTTTTCCATTTTGAGAGAACCTTTAGGATTGTGGTTCTTTCCTTGCAAAAGCTTAAAACAAGGAAATTGAAAGCTAGCAGAGGGATGATCACACCTTTAAGACAATGCAATTGTGCATGATTTTCACCTTTTTTGATGTTTATAAAAACTAAAATCTGATAAAGACATTTGGATTGTTTTAATTTTGTAGGGAAGGCATCCTGAATACTTTGGAGGACATCCAACCTGCTGACCTTTTTAAACAACTATTTGCTTCATTAGTAAGTTTTGCAGTATATCTCATTTTTCTATTCCATTTCTGTCTTCTACACCAATTATTTTCTGCATTGTAGATAGAAAAAAATATTATTTTCCCACCTGCAACTGGAAATGGGTAGCTCCAACTGATTATAATCTTCCTACTTCCTAGGCTCATATACGAAACTGCACCCTATCCATGAATTGCACTTTTGAAATGGTTTATGCATGCTGTTGAATAAGTTAGTCTTACTTTAGTTTAGTGCTGCAAGGGCACATATGTAATTTTACATTGTTTTATTATTTGAGTGGTTGCCCTAATATAAACATCAAAAAAGCTGGCACCGCCAGCTGATGTTCTTTTCCTCTCCAAAACCTTTTTTCTCTTTTCTCTCTTCTCTCTTCTCCCTCCTCTTCTCTCACTATTCTGAGATCCTGCTGCGTGTTTACCAAGAAAACATGGTATCAGAGTGACAGATCAAGTCTTAGGAGTAGTGTGATCAGTCCTTTTCTTTATCCAGCTGCTTTCTTTGTCCATTGGTGATCGAATCAAAGAAAAGGGATTTCTGGTTGACATGAGGAGGCTTGTTGTGATTCTTCCTCTCCCCTCTTGGTCGTGGGCCCAAAAAACACCAAGGGGAGGGAAGGCGAATGCTGTGAAAGGTTTTTCTTTTTTTTTTTTTTTTGTTTTCTTTTCTCCTCAACTTTGTGGATCGAATTGATCCTTCTGTACCCAGGTGAGTGGGTTATGTGGGTCTAATGACCTGTGGCTGTTGTGAGAGTGTTTCCTCTCAGCCTATGTGGATCGAGTGATCCTTCTTGTGCCCTGAAAGGTGGGCTGTTCAGGTCTGCATGTTCTGTAACTACTGTGACAGCAGTTTTTCTTTCCTTAGTTCCTTGAAACTTCAGTGGTCGTGTGAAAAATTGATGAATTATTGTTTGGAGGGACTGATCAGACCTGATTTTTTATATGTTTTGTACATCTGAACTGGTTCAGTAGGGTTGTAATATGAGAACAAGTGATGTTGTGTGATCAGATTTGATTATGCTGTGTGAGAACAAGAATTTTGTTTTTGTGCCCAGAACTGTGGCTGGACTAAGGTTTTAAATTTTTTGACTGAACTGTGAATCTGAACTGAACTGAGAACTAGTTCTTTGATTGAATTGTGACTGAACTGAAATCAAGTACCATGTCTTCTGATGATTCTGATATGTCTGGTGTGACCTCTAGTTAGAGTGGAATGAATGGAGGCTTTGACATGAGTTTTCCCATTGCTGTGATTCCCTTTGATGGTCTCAATTACCTAGAATGGTCAAGGGGAATCAAGCTCTACATAATTGCAAGGGGAAAAGTGGGGTATATCAATGGTAGAGTTAAAGAACCACAGTTTGGAGGTGTAGAACATGATAGGTGGGACTAGGAAAATAGCATGGTGATGTCATGGCTGTTATTGCCCATGCTACCACAAGTGAGAAAGACCTTCATGTGGGCAGAAATAACTCATGAGATATGGGAGCAAGCTAAATCTACATATTCAGAACAATGACATTATGCCAAAATATATCAGTTGTAGGCTATCTCCTCAACTTGTAAGCAGGGGGAGAGGAGTCTCTCTGTCTACTATTTAGACTTGACCTCTATTTGGAAAGAACTAGATCATTATCAGAACATAGATTGAAAATGTGATGCAGATGCTAAAGCATACAAGTCTTTGGTTTCCCAACAAAGGGTGTTTGCCTTCCTCTTAGGGCTGAATTCCACATATGAATCTATCAGGGTTCAGATATTGGGGAATAAAGATCTCCCATCAATGCAAGAAGTGTATGCTCTAATACAGTTAGAAGAGAGCAGACGGAATGTGATGAATAATTCTAAGGGGGAGCAGAGTAAAAATTCTAGACATACTTGGGATACATGTTGGGAACTTCATGGGAAGCCAAAGTGGGCCTAGGAGTTGAGTAAAAAATCAAACCAGAATAAGAAGCCAGGACAACAAGGTCAAAAGAAGTTTAATGCAACAAACTTAGCCTCTCAAGAGCCTCAATCATCTACCACTACCATGAGCCCTTTTGTGATTGATCCTAGAGAAGATATCATTAATTCTTTCTGTGACCATTTGGAGCTGTATGGGAGGGCAATCTGCCAAATGGGTTCTGCTTCTCCCCCCTCAACTTCCTTTGTGTCTACATCAGGTAACGGTAATTTTGCCACAGCTTTCCATGTGTCCTCTCATCCCTCAGACTCTCCTTGGATAATAGATTTTGGAGCCTCGAACCATATGACGGGTAAGTCCAATTGTTTTTGTTAGCGTAGGGGTATTTCTGTCTTTATACCTAGATTAATGTTGCTGATCTGTAATGTTGTGTTGGAACAAGTGCTTTTAACTTAAGTAAGGGCACATAGGTCTTTTCAGTTATGTTTTAATAATAATATAAATACTTCCTGGCCGACTGGGAGAAGTCATGTTGACTCTTTCAGTTCGAACCAGAATTCTCTCTCTCTTTCACCTTTCTTCTTCTACATACTGATCTCAGACAGGCAGAACTCTAAGGCAGACCTGAATTCTAACAGTTTTCAATCGAGACTTGATGATGGTTCTTTCTCCACCATAGCTGGTCAAGGAACCATCTCTCTTCCTTTTGGATTCACCCTTTCTGATGTTCTACATGTTCCAAAACTACCTATAAATTTGTTCTCTGTTAGTAGTAGTATAACAAATTCGTTAAACTTCTCAGTAACCTTTTTCCCTTCCTCATGTGTGATATAGGATTTGTCCTCGGGGAAGATGATTGGTAGAGGTTGTATGGTGGATGGTCTTTACATGTTGGAGAATAAAGCTAGTCTTGCGGCTATTAAGTTTAAGAGTCTGTCTAGTAAGAGTCAAGTCCATTTAGCATAGTTATTTGGGTCATTTATCTTTTAAATCGTTGAAAGTTTTGTTACCAGATTTATTTAAGTCAGTGTCAGTGTTGGATTTCACATGTCAAACTTGTTAGTTGAGCAAACATTGTAGAAATCATTTTACTTCAAGGAATAATAAATCTGATTTTCCTTTCAATATTGTTTATTCTGATGTTTGAGGCCCTCTTACTTTAACATCTGAGTCTGGCTATAAGTATTTCATTACGCTTATTGATGAAGTACCCAAAATCATTAAAGATTTCCAATGCTTGATATTCACTCAGTTTCAAACGGAGATCCAAATTTTCCAATCGGACAATTCCAAAGAGTACTTTCATAGCGATCTTACAGAGTTTTTTGCTTCGTGTAGATCCATACATCGCAGCTCTTGTGCTAGAACCCCCAACAGAGATGAAGTTGCTCGTGGGTTACTCATACACATGAATGTTCCTAAATGTTTTTGGTTAGATGTTGTGTTGTGTGTTGCCTATCTTATCAACCATATGCCATCTCACTTGTTAGGGTACAAGGCCCCCCATCAGCTCCTATTTCCCAAGGCTCCCCTCTTCTCTACTCCTATCCGTGTGTTTGGTTGTCGTTGTTTTGTCCAAGACCGATCTCCTACTCGTGGTAAACTTGATCCTTGTACCATTCCCTATGTATTCTTGGTTTACCCTTCTTTTCAAAAGGGTTATTTTTTACCCCGTTTCTAGGAAATACTATGTGTCTATAGATGTGACTTTCTTTGAGAGTGACCCTTTTTTCTCTGTTTCTCCTCAAGGGGAGAGTAAGGTGGAGGAGAAATGAGTTCAAGTTCTTCCCCCTCTGCTTGACCCTCCATTCTGTGTTTATACTTGTCGTCGCAAGGGCTAGCTAAGTTCAAGAGCTGTGGAGCTACTTGAAACTGTACCACCAACATCATTAGATTCACCGGGGACAGATCCTATCCAACTAGGTACTCTCATTTCTATTGATGTTTCTGATCCTCTTGCTATTGATGCTTCATCTGCTAATGACCTAGACATCCCTATTGCAAAAAGAGAGTTAGGTCTTGTACCACCAAGCATCCTATTTCACATTTTGTTTCCTATGAAAACATCTCACCTTTTTCCTTTCTTCCATTGACAGTGTTCCTATCCCTAAAAATGTGGAAGAAACTCTCTTAGTATGTGAATGGATAGATGCAATGAAAGAAGAGATAAATGCCTCACATAAAAATGGTACATGGGAGTTAGTGGATCTTCCTGAGGGTAAGGAACCGGTAGGGTGCAAGTGGGTGTTGACAATGAAGCACAAGGTTGATGGCATAGTAGAAAGGTACAAGGCCAGGTTGGTGGCAAAAGGGTTTACCCAGGTATGTGGAGTAGATTATATAGTGACTTTTGCTCCAGTAGCTAAGATGAACTCCATTAGAGTTCTTTTCTCTCGCTGCAAATCTTGATTGGGATCTTCATTAGCTAGACATTAAAAACGCCTTCTTGAATGGAGACCTTGAGGAAGAGGTGTACATGGTACAACCTCCTGGCTTTAGTGCCCAAGGCAAAGAGCAGAAAGTGTGTAGGTTAAGAAGTCCTTGTATGGTCTAAAACAATCACCAAGAGCTTAGTTTAACAAGTTTCATCTGGCTATGCAGCAAATTGGCTACAAACAGTGTCAGATTGACCATACACTATTTGTGAAAAGGGGGGAAGGAAAGATTGCAGCCTTGATAGTGTATGTTGATGACATAGTGATCATAGGTGATTGGAAAGTTGAAATTTAGAGGCTAAAGTATCTCTTAGCCACTCAATTTGAGGTGAAGGATCTAGGTTCCCTACAGTATTTCCTTGGAATTGAACTAGCTTGCTCACTGTAGAGGAGATGGGCCGAATGGCCCATAAACTGTCATTTTATGTTATGTTATGTTTCTCTTTGTTATGGGCCTTATTCTGGGCCCATACTCTGTAATGTTCTGTTTTTTGTATTTTTTCTACCCACTCAAGGGCCTCTCTGTAATTTATCAAAGATTAACACCTTAATAAAATGTTTAGAGTGTTAGAGTGAGGTTAAATTCGAAACTCTCACTCTCTAACACT